CGCCGCGCACGTGGCCCCAGCGGAGCAGTGCGCACGCGCGCGGGCCCCGATGCACCTGCCGCCTGCGCGGGGCGGGGCGGGGCCCCACTGGGGGGCGGGGCGACGGCAGCCTCTGAACCGCCGACGAGCGCCCGGGAGGAAAGAGGTTTCCGGGGGTTATTTCTCAAGTGAGGTTTTATCACTTGTATTGTAGCCAAGTCTCATTATGGAATCATTACTCAGAATTGCTCTTGCCTTTGTCCCGACTATAAAATAAAAGCTTAAACATGATAATCGTCAAGTACCAACAATGGTAGTGGGCTCTTGAATCACTGTCTTCCTTTGAATTTCTGTCTGGAAAAGAACCCACGTGACTCCAGCCAATAGTTGTGTAAGTGACAATAAAATCTATGTTCCTTTCCACTACTGTCCAAGCAGGGACATTTTGCTTGCTGCAAACGCAGGTTTCGGGGAAAGGAAAAGTTCTCTAGACCTGACAGGTGAGCGCCTGGTGTTATTGTGTCCAGGTTTCTCCAGGAGCTTCAGGTGTTACTGCCCAAACTTACCCCGAACCTAGTGTCTTGCGAAAACAAATATTAAGTGTCTCACGCTTCCCGTGGATGAGGACTTTTTTGGGGGGTTTAGCCAGACCCTCGTGCCTATGGGCAGGATCCGGCTCTTTGTCCCCTGGGCCCCTCTGCTGGGCAGCTCTCAACACAACAGCTGGCTGTGTCAGAGTCGCAAGGAAGGGCCAGAGCAGGACCGTGATGGTCCTTTGTGACCTGGTCCGGGAAGTGATGTGCCGTCCCATCACTATATTCTGTTCACAAGGAGTGAGCCACCATGTCTAGTCCAGCTTGGGGAGGGGATTTCACAGGATGGGGAGGCAAGGTCCACTGGGAGCCATTCCAGAACTTTCTGCTATGATCACCTGTGCTTCTTCTCCGCTCTGTGCGTCAGAATCCCTAGTAAAAAGTAAACCTCTTCCTGTTTCAAGAATACAACACGTGAGCACATACAGAAGACCCAGCTGAGGTTGTGGGAGCAGTTCTCCAGGGGCCTCCAGTGTTCCTTGTGTCTTGTGAGTGAGGCCGGCCAGTGTTCGGGACCATGTTTTTATTTTTTAAATCAAGTATTATTTTTTAATGTTTATTTTTGAGACAGAGAGAGACAGAGTATGAGCGGGGAAGGGGCAGAGAGAGGAAGACACAGAATCTGTAGCTGGCTCCAGGCTCTGAGCTGTCAGCACAGAGCCCAGTGTGGGGCTCTAGCTCATGACCTGAGCTGAAGTCAGATGCTTAGCCGACTGAGCCACCTAGGTGCTCCAAATTAATTAATTCTTTAATGTTTATTTAGTTTTAAGAGAGAGAGGGAGAGAGAGAGCATGAGCAAGTGGGGCAGGGGCAGAGAGAGAGAGAGAGAGAAACAGAAGATCTGAAGTGTGCTCTGTGCTGACAGCAGAGAGCCTGACATGGGGCTTGAACCCATGAGCCGTGAGATCATGACCTGAGCCAACGTGGGATGCCCAACAGACTGAGCCCCCAGGCGCCCCTGGACCATGTTTTTGAGGATGTTTGCCTAGAGCCTTCCAGAACAATGGGCAGGCACAGTTACAAGCCAGCAGGATGGAGGTGATGCCCCCTCCAGAGGGAGGGGTGGCAGCTTCCTGCCCACTCAAGGGGGCTTGGGTTCCCTACATTCACAGGTCCTATCCTGGAACCACCTGCTGCACACAAAGGTGTTACCTGGGCCTCGTGACTTGCTCTGTGGGGACTGGAGCTTGGGACTCAGACCCATGCCAACACTGGCCGCTGCTTAACTGTAGGTCTGGGGGGGGGGGCAGGCAAAGCAGCAGACCCCTGCTGGAGGCCCCCCTGCCATCCACAGGGTCGGGAAGATGTGGGGCATCTCAGTGCACGGACCCCCCCTTGTGCCTGGGGCAGATCCAGTCCTTGGGGTCCTGTGGCTGTGGCTGGGCAGGGCCCTGCAGGGGCCCCAAGCCTTGAGGTGCACAGCCTCACGGCCATTGTCGCTGCCCCAAGACTGTTTTCCGAACCTGCAAGGAGCCCCTGTTCTGTCAGCCCGACGGTGGGTGAGACGCGTGCACCTGCCTTCCTTCCATGGGCTCTTCTGGCCCCTGCGTAGTCCATGCTGAGCCCCGGCACCCCTCGGGGCCTCCGTTTCCTCACTTGGAGGTAAGGAGGGCGGGGGTCAACACCTCTGTGCTCTCACGTCGCCTCCAAGTCTCCCGAAGTTAGGGGGAGCTCAGCAGGTCCAGCCCTCCTGTCACCTCCCGCACTCAGCTGTCCTGAGACAGCCGGGGAAGGCACACCGGCCTTGGGCCTTCGTACCTGCTCCTGCGGGATTACGATCGGTGCGGAGCACATCTGATAGGATGTCAACCCCCCGGGCGTGAAGTCAGAACCACTGCCCCTAATTGAATCCCCCGACTTTTCAAGAAGGGGCCTCTTGTGCAGACTGCAGAGTCTGATTTGCAATGTGTGGGGTGGGGGGGGCGGTGTGGTTGAGGACAGAGCCGGGATTGATGAGGTGCCGCACTGAGGCGTGACCATGGAGCTGCGGCTCAGTCTCCTGGGGGCCCTGCGAGAGGCTGGGCGGAGACGGGGCGGGGGGAGCAGAGCGCGGCCCGGATCCGCGTGTCCACACTGCCATCCAGCGTCCGTCGCAAGCAGCGCAGGCAGGAGCTCTTTAGGATGGTGAGCGCGTGTGTGCGTGTACATGCGTGTGCATGCGTGTGCGTGTGTATCAGGGAGGGGAGGGAAGCAGGAGGGGAGGGAAGAGAGGGGAGAGGAGGGAGGGCGGGGGAAGAGAGGAGAGGAGAGGGAGGGAGGGGAGGGGACAGAGGGAAGGAGGAGGAGGGGTGAGCAGTGAGAGGCAGGTGGGGGTGAGATGTTGCGGAACAAAGGCCGGCAGGCAGGGGGAAGGAGGGCTGTGTCCCCAGAGGCCAGTGCCCTCCCCAGAAACCTCCTCCACCACGTGATTCCCACGTGACCTCCGCCGGCGTCCCCAGGTCCCCAGGCGGTGGCAGCCATCTAGAGCCGCCAGACAAAGCCCAACAAAGTGGGTGGTTCTGAGTGTTGAGGAGGATAAGCTCAGGCCTGGGATGTGTGGTTCATCTCTGTCTCGAGGTCCTGGAAGCACTCCGCACAGAGCTTGGTCCAGGGCCCACGGGAGGGTGTGATCGGGGTGTTTCTGTGCTGGGGTTCCCGTGGGTCCACGGTCCCTCTCCCGGGCAGCCTGTGTCACGTTCCTGTTTCTCATGCCTGCACAGCTGCTTCGCTCTCCACGCGGGTGGCTACCCCCTGACACTGAGCTTCTGGATGGTGGGCCCACCTTACCTCCTCGGGGAGTGGGGTGGCAGGCAGGTGAGGACTGTTGGTCACCACAGGCACAACCCAGTTTAATCCAGAAATCCAAAACCGAGGGTGCGAGGTGCTTTTTTAGCCATAAGCAAGAGCATGTGAGTCTCTAATTTAAGCAGAGAGGGGATCTGCTGGAAAGGTTTTGGGAGTTCGTGAGGGAATTTTAAAGACTGAGAACCATCCTGGGGCTGTGATGAACGGAGCCCACAGATCATGCTGCTACATGGCCTGTTGTCCTGGCTCTGCGGGGTTGGAGAAGCTGGCACACAGGTTTCGGTGGCAGCAGGCTGTAGCCACTGCGTGTTGGTGGCCTCAATTAGCCCCCATCCAGAGTCTGAGGGGCAGGTCTGCCTGGTACCTAGTTCTGGGGCCAGCTTTAGGTAAGTCTGCGACAGGTTGTGCACTGCATTAGTCCAGAGGCACCATTCATGGAATGGCTGGCATAAAGGCCTGTGTTATGAAGCTATGAAGGGGCTGGGAAGGTGCAAGGTTTCTCAGGGAGTTCTCTGAAGGGAGCCATACTGTTTTCCCAAGGATGAGCTGCACCAAACACACGCCAGTCGGGTTAGCTTGCTTTCAGGCATGTCTCCTCCCCAAAGTGCTTAGTGCCTCTGCTGCGGACCAAGTTCCCTTTCCCATTAACTGTGATCCTTAGGGGTCAGCAGTTTGGGCTGAGAGACCAGCTGATGGGTCTTCTGCCTTTCATGGTTGGCCACACGCTCCTCCGCCCGGTAGCCGTCAGCAGTGGCTGGGGTGGCTGGTTCAGGACGCCTTTGGTCGGGCGGGTTGTTTCGCCTGCAACCGGTTTCAATATCCTCTCGGTGGGACCAGCCTGAGCTGCGGTTCCCCCTGCGGCTGCCTAAAGCAAGAGTGGCCCACAAGCTTCCTGAGGCCTGCTGCCGAAGCCGAACAACATGGCTCTGTCGCTGTTCAAGGCCAAGTGGTCGAAGGTGAGTCCAGATTCAAGGGAGTGGGTTGACTGAGGGAGCTGCTGGCGGTAGAGGATTGTGGCTGGCGTTTCTGCCGCCTGTCAGCCTCAAGAAAGCTGGCCAGATGTGGCCCAAAATAAGGGCCCAGGTCCATGATGGCGGGGGAGGGGGGGGAGAAGGAAGGGCATGGCAGGGGTCAGCTGCGGGGATCCCGCCCGGGGTGTGGGCAGAAGGGACAGCATCGGGAGGAGACCAGTGTTGACGCTGATCTGTTCCTTGTCCCTTTCTGAATGTCCAGCAGGCACTGGGCAGGCCTTGGTGCTCAGAAAACCTCCGGGAGGTGGGGGCACCAGGCGGTCTCAAGCAGAAGTTTCTGGCATTGCCCGGGGCTCAGGCACAGCGGGCTGCTCCTGGTGACAGTGTCCTGCCCCCCCACCCACCCCCATCAGGCCGCAGGTGGTGCCAAGCCCCAGGCCCCAGGGCACCTCACTGACAGATCTGCACTGAAGCAGCACCTCGAGGTCAAGTGCCGCTTCTCCAGTCCCCTGCTTGATCAGCTTCCGCCGCACGCCTGATCCCAAACCCAATTGCCACCCCTCGAGGCTCTGCCGATCAGCCCTCCATCACCATGTGACAAATCACCCTACGCTTCAGCAGCTCGTGTGTGTGGTCTCGCACAGTTTCTGTGGCCCAGGAGCGTGGGGGCAGCTGAGCGGTGGTTCTGGCCAGGGCTCCTCCTGGGTGGCCTTCGAGCCTCTGGGGGAAGGAGCCGCGGTCGCCCGCATGCGGGGCCCCTGCCGGGCTCGTCGCTGGCTCGGGGCTGGTCCGGACCACCGCTCTCCCTGCTCTTGCTGTCCTCACCCCCCAGCAGAGCCGACTGCAATCGCGTGCGCCGTGGGGGACGAGGCTCTGGGCTGCCACACGTGGCCACCGAGCACGTGGAATTTAGCTAGTGAGACAGGATGTAAATTTAAAATTTCATCGAACTTCTATTAAAAACATTTAAATGTTTTTCCAAAGTTTGTTTATTTTTGAGAACGAGAGAGCGTGCGTGTATGGGCCAGAGCCAGCGGGGGAGGGACAGAGAGGGAGAGAGAGAGTCCCAAGCAGGCTCCACACCGCCAGCCCGGGGCTCAAACTCACAGACCGGGAAATCATGACCTGAGCGGAAGTCAAGAGTCCGATGCTCAACTGACCGAGCCACCCAGGCACCCCGTGACTTTAAATTTTAGGTATGATTTTAGGTAACCGGTGGCTGGATGCTGCGGCCTGTAGACCCTCGCCCTCCAGGTGTGGTCGCCGACCTGCCCTCCAAGCATCGCCTGCTGCGCGTCAAGGTCCCGGCACCTCTCGAATCTGCAGTCAAAACTCGCCTTTGAGCAGACTCCCCAGTGGCCTGGACGCACAGCAGACTTGGGGAGCCGGGCTCCAGGCGTGGACGGGCGGGTCGGGCGGCCTTGGCCAGCCCCTGAGCATCCCTCTTGGCCGTTCTCTGTGCCGGGGCCCAGACTCAGGTAATGGGTAAAGGGATTATCAGGACAGGGTCCCAGGGTCACATCTGTGAATTTGATGCACCATCTGCTATGTACAGAGGGACAGGATGTGGCCCGTGTTCTTAAGAATCGCTTCCAGAAGGGTAGACAGACGTGTCAGCACGGACCTGAGGACGTGGGCACTGGGGAGAGGCCGGGAGCTTCCCGGAGGTTCCATCAGGGAGAGCTGGGGGGCAGGAAGGCAGAAGGGCAGGCCAAGCCTGGTGAAGAAAACCAAGGACCGTGACAGACTCCCACACCGCACTACCCGCCCCCCGGGCCTCCCAGGCCACGTGATTGGGACCCCCCTCCCCGGACGCTCTGAGCTCCTGCTCCCGTTCCCTGGCTCAGGACTCAAGTGGCCTTGGATAGATCTTCTTCCTCCGGAGCTCAGTTTCTGCACCTGTGAGGCAGGACCCGCCTGCTGTCCAGGGTGGCGTGGCCACGAGGGCCAGCCGCCATGTACCTGTGCTGTTCCCGCCTCACGGAGACCTCTTCCTCCAGACCGTGGGCTCCAGGGCAGGGACCTGAGTCTGCCGCCGGCCACCAGGGGCAGCACCGCTTATCAAGGTCTACGAGGTCACATGAAAACTCCGGGGGCGCCTGCATTTTCCTAGGGCCGAGAGACCTTCCCCTCTGACGAATCCCCCAAAGGCTGTCATCTCCAGAAGCATTGCCGGGTGTGCAGAGTAAATGCATTTGCACGAACCTTCTAGAGACAAGACTGAGTGATAGCTGGCCAGGCCAGGAGCGGGAGGCCACTCACTAGGCACTGTGGGGGTGGGTGTTTGTGGGAGGGACTGGGATGTTGGTCTCCAGCAAGGCTCCGTGAGACTCCTTGGCTTCTCCAGGAAGAGTGCTCCACCTCCCAGCCGCCTCCCCCCGTTGCCCTTATGACATCACACAAGCTCGGCCAACCTCCAGAAAGTTCCGTCTTGCTAGGTGAGGGCCCTATAATTCTCTCCTGCGGGCACCAGACCACCACGGGACCTGGGCTGGCTTGTGGGGAGCAAGAAATCCAGCCCTAAACACTGGACCTTGGATTCCGAGGTGAGGGTAGGGTCCCCTTTGTACATAACTTCCCATTTTAACGCTGTCCTTGCCACGGTTTGGGGGACGAATGGCACCATGGGCATCTGCCAGCTGGAAGTAAGGGCGGGGGTGGGTCCCCAAACCCTGTGGACCCGGGGCCGGGCGTGGGGCTGGCCAGACACCAGGTGGTATTGCCAGTGAGGTGCCAGGCTGGACCCTGCTCCCCTGCTGTTCGTCCTCTCCCCACCTCACATTAAAAAAAAATTTTATTGGGGCTCCTGGTGGGGGAGGTCAGCCAGTTAAGCATCCGACTCTCAATCTAGGCTCAAGTCATGATCTCATGGTTCATGGGTTTGAGCCCTGTGTCAGGCTCTGTGCTGACCGGGCAGAGCCTGCTTGGGATTTTCTCTGTCTCTTTCTCTCTCTGCCCCTCCCCTCCTCCTCTTTCTCTCTCTCTCTCAAAATAAATAAATAAACTTAAACAAATTTTATTTATTTATTTTAAGTCCAGTGTAGTTAACATACAGTGTAATATTGGTTTCGGGTGTATGATACCGTGATTCGTCACCTGCAGACGACAGCCAGGGCTCATCACAAGTGCCCTCCTCAATGGCCATCTCCCGCCTAGCCCACCCTCCGCCCAGCTCCCATCTGGTAACCATCGGTTTGTCCTCCATACGTAAGAGTCTGTCTCGTGGTTCCTCTCCCTCTCTCTCTTTTTCCCTTTACTCATTTGTTTCTTAAATTCCACGTATAAGTGAAGTCATGTGGTTTTTAACTTTCTCCGACTGTCTTCACTTAGCATTACACTCTGGCTCCATCCGTGTTGTTGCAAGTGGGGAGATTTCATTCTTTCTCACGGCCGAGTGATATTCCGTTGTGTGTGTGTGTGTGTGTGTGTGTGTGTGCATCAGTCCATGGACACCTGGGCTCTTTCCCTATCTTGGCTGCTGCAAATAACGCCGCTATGAACGTCGGGGTGCCCGTGCCCCTTTGAATCAAGTGTTTCTGTACCCCTGGGCAAATACCCGGTAGCGTGATTGGGCCTCGTGGGGCGCATTCTTGTCTGTGGGGGGAGACTCTTCACGCCACGGGCTCCGAGACTGTGGGGGGAACAGACAGACACCAGTCGTGCGGCTCCGGGGGAGACAGTGAAGACTTCACTGTTTTCTTGATGGGTA